AACATGGTGCGCCGGGGCTCGGCCGCCCCGCCTCCCTCCCCGGGTCGCCGGCGCTTCGAAGGGCGCCCCCAGACCCCCTCCTTCATTGCTTTGGAGAACGGGCTGGCGCCTTAAGGAGGTGGGCACTGGTGGTGCTTTCTGGCCGGGGAGAGGAGGGGGGAGCTGCTATCCTCCATTAGGTCCAGCTCGCTGTTCTGGGGCAGGTGTCTGGCTTGCCAGAGCGAAGGCTGGGCTTTCTGAGTGCTGGTTTAGGCTTTGGGATGTTTGCCTGGTGTAAAGGGAACCCTCAGTCTGATGGGGGGTGCCCACTCGTAGTGGGGTAGGAGGTGAAACCAACTTCCAGTTCTCGTCATCTCCAACTCCTTCCTCCTCCTCCCTTCAAAACAAATGAAAAAGAGCAGCCTGGAAAGATGCTTCCTGTTTCCAAGGGGGTTTTGCTCTGCGTGAGAGGATTGGGTGCTGCTTGTCATTGCTTTGGCCTTGTGCTATGCTAATGGCTTTGCTCCTTCAGATCTGCCACTGTAACTGTTCCTATATTTATGCCCATCCGAACATGCTGGGATAGCATGAGTACCTCTACTTACAGTTTGTCAAATAATCTGAGTGTTTAAAAAAAACTGAGTTAAATTAGAAATATCCTGCTAACGAGGCAGGTCTGAGGAGGTGGTAGTCACTTGGCCTGTCTTAGGACAGCTCACTGCATCGTTGGTACACGCAGAGTCTGAAACGTTTGTGCCCTAGAACCTCATTTGGGGCAGGTGGTGGAACCTTCTGGCTGTCCTGTATGTTGCTGCTCTTCATGCATGCAAATGCAAGTACGGGGAGTTAAAAGGTCAGTCATATATCTTAAACAGTTTCTCCGCACAGCACAGATGCAAGCTGTCTATTAAAATACTATGCTTGTTATGGTGGAGAGGATAGACACTTTCCAACCTCTGCTTGTAAGCCAGTCTAGATATTCAGCTTTGCCTCTTGTTAATACTGTAGTATGTTAATAAAAGCAGAGGAAAACCCTGCCTCCTTCCCTCCCTCCCTCCCTCGTGGCTGTGTATTCACTCCCTGTCTTCAGCTGCACCTTTCTAATGGGAGCTTAAAGTGTTGAAAGCCTGAAGAGTAAAATACTAGCAAATTATTTTCTTGCATTTTAAGAAATAACTGATTATGGGACAGATGCCCTCAGCATCTCTTCCCCCCAGTATGGATGTATTAAAAGATGCACAAATGATTTATTTCTATCCAGACGTGGGTTCTTTCCCAGCTTTGGCCATTAATTGCTGTAGATGATTCTGCCATCTGAAGCAAATTTTTTGTTACTTGTTCCATTTGTACTACCTGTCCACAGAGTACTTGGTAAAAGAATCGCCAGAAGCTTGTACAAGTTAGTTATGAACATATTTATAAATATCTTATTAAATGTTTTTTTTCTCAGGTGCAGTGGTGGATTGCTGAAGGGTAGTGTAAGGGTGGCTTAATAAACATACTTGTTTAGTTGTTGGGCATCTAAGGCCTTGTGGTTTTATTTTGGATAACTCCAGTGTATTCTAGGTGATAGATTTCAAACACCTACTGTTGAAGGTTTTTTTTAAGAAAAAATTTCAAGACATCAGAAGATGATGCAGTTTGCATTGATGAGGCTGGAAAGAATAGCTAATAGGAGTCTTAAGCACTCATTAGCAGCTATTTCTTACTCCAGAAAGAGAGTTTATTTGCTATTATCCAAGTTATTGTTATACCTGATCTTTTCTCTTTTGTATGCTTGACCTTTTAGTCATCAATTTAATGTGTCCTCTGATGACCGAGTCTTGGATAGCGGCTATTTTTTTTAAATAAACCTAAGGAAATTTAGATTAATTTGTTTTCCAGCAAATTTGGTAGGGCATGGATTGAATTTACAGTATTCCGACATGAACTGATTCTGATCCATTGCTAAAGACAGATATTTATTAATATACCTGGGAAGGAGTGGGGTGAATGGATGGAGCTGGCTTCTGATATACGAAGTGAAATATGTGAAACTAATGAACTGCAATAATCAGCTCACACATAATGTAACTGTTTCTCCCTCAGCATAGGTTTTCTTATGGGCAGGGATTTTTATTAAGATCAGTTTCTACAGTTTTGTCTGAGTAACTCTACTAAGTTAGTTACAGTCATTGTCCATTAACTATAAAAACCCAACAGCTAGAAGTAATTAGGAAATGTCGTGGTATAAAAGTCATTCTGCATTTCCTTTGCACTACCTTTTACAGACGTGGGAGACCTGAGGCCAACTTTCCTAGAGAACGAGACCTGGTTGGTTCTTATCTTTGTTCCAAGTGATTTGTCAATGTCATCTAGAATATGTCAAAGCCAAGACTTGTACTTCAGTCTCCTGATCATAGCAGTGTCTCAACTGTGAGGTCCTCTGCCTGCTCAGAGCAGGCTGTTTAAAGCACAAAACACACCTAGCAGCAATTTTTACATACCAGATTTCCTGTCTTGGAATTAACTGAAGGCATGATACTTGTGTAGTGTTTGAGGGAGAGATACCAGTGCAGAGAACAGATCTGAAATTAACTCTCCTCTTAAGGAAAGTGGTGGTAGTTATAATTCCGGTATTGTTAATGGATATGCTACTAGTTTTGGGGTGTATGACTGTCAGCTTCCAAGCTGACTGTATGTTTAGAGTCTAGATGCATAGACTTTGGTCTTCCTCTCCAGGTAGCAGTGCCTTGAATTACTTGCATTCTGTTCCTCTGAATGTTTAGCATGATCTGCTCACATTTAATTTTATACCTTTGGTTAGACTTGTGCGTGCTACATGGTGGTAAGGTAATGGAGACTTTTTGAAATTAATTCAATCTTGGGTGTGTGAAATTATAACATTTAATAGGATAGATTGGAGCTGAGAAGTAACAATGGCCCTTGAACGTTGCAGTTCAGATGGCAAATCATAAGGTCCTCTCACTGGACTAATCAAATAAATAAAAAGATTTTAGGCTCATATGGGAAGAGTAGTATTACTAAGAAGCTACAAGTGTTAAATGACCTCTACTGAGTAAATCTATTTCCCCACCCACCCTGCCTTGATCATCTCCTGACATAAATGCTCTGAAAGAAAAGTGATGGAATATTCTGAACACCTGGAGATCCTCGTGGGACTTCTTGCAGAAAAGTGTTCAGACAGGTGAAGCTTCACAATATCAAGAAAATTAAGTAGGAAAAAGTGGAAATGACAGTTTACTACGGGTTGGCTTTCTGTCACTTGTTTAAAAATAGAAGGCTGCATAAGAACAGCCCTGCCTTTAGCTGAGATGTAAAAGAATGTGTAGTTTTAACTGTTCAAGCCTAATTGTTATCTGGGACAAACAGCAACAGAGCTTTAGCATACCTTGAAAATTTGGATCAGCTTGTGAGTCTGTGGGAGTCACAAGATACCACGTCTTTCATGACAGTGTCCTGACAAGGCTCTGGGCTTGGCTTGCTTAATTATGGCTCGTCACTTGCTGTGATAAATATGTCCTTTCCTACATTTGTGACTAACTCATGTGGGCTTTACAATAGTGGCTTGTTAATGCTAAAATAAGAGATTCTTGCTGATCGTTTGGCTGTGAAAAGGTTGATAGCGAGTACAGTAGATAACTTATGCTAGATAATGGATTTTTACATTTGACTTTCAGATCTTGCGTGGGTGACTGTGTTGGCACAGAATGCCCAGTGTGCCACATGCCAGCCTGGGTGCAAGATGCACAGATAAACCGGCAACTAGATAACATGATTCAGCTTTGCAGCAAACTGCGGCATCTACTGGGTGCGGACACCTCAGGTAAGAGCAAACCTGGGTCTCTGACAGCCATTGAATCCAGACGGCTCCGTTTCATTTCATGGGCTTTATAGAGAATGAGCAGTGTAGCCCTGATTAAGATTCTGAAAGGCTGTTCCGAATCATGTTTGGAAAATTTGATTTGAAGAGAACTGTCTGTATGCATTGCTCATTCTTTGAATCTGTTTTACTAAGAAATCTGCATGAGCGGGTTAGTCCATAATTCATTAGAATCTGTCTTCCAAAATTAGACGGAAGTGGGATAGATTCCCAAGTCACGAGGCAGTTAGTTGCACAAACCAGGGGCACAAGTTGTCATATCTTGTGCTCTTAGGGGAGCACAAATGTGTAATGTTCTGCAGTGTACACTTCTTTAGGGGGGCCCTGTTAAAAGATTAATGCATAGATTCTCTTGCCTCTTGTGTATTTGTGCACCAAGGCGTGCATGCTGTCCCAGTAATTTTCAGTTTAGGGTTTTTGCACATGGAAAAAATTATCTGTGTTCCTTACCTACAAGGGGAAGGAGGCAAGTCTTAACTCATTTATTTTCTGGTCTCTAACAATCAGCTAGTCTGCTACAATGGAATTTTGTCATTGCTGACTGTGCAATGAGATTGCAGAGATCGTACTCTGGGAATTCATCTCTTTACCAAATTTTAGGCTGATTGTCAAAGTAGGAAAAAATGAAGTGAAATGAGCGTAGGTGAATGTATGTCTCTTCTGCAAGCCCAGAGAGGAGCAATTTATGTAATGCCAAGTTTTAGAAAACATTCATTTAGCTGTCAGATACAGAAAAGGTAGTTTTTCCTTCATTGTTGCTTTCTAATATGTTTGTCTAAATTAAAGATTCTTTTTCTAAGTCTAATCCCATCAGCACTTTCATGTTCATTTATGGGGTAGTTCTTTATTGACATCAAAATACATTGAAGCAAGGAGGCTGGAAGCCTATGTCCAACTGTAAAGGAGTACGTTTTATATAGATATAAAATCCTACAGTGATTAAATCTTCTGGAGCATAGAAAATGCAGATGATGGCTTAAATAGGATTTTAGGGAAACATTTTAAGTGGTGAAGGCTTTTAAAAACATAGTTGGAGGAGAATCTCTGAGAGGAGCTATTTGCGATGCTATAAATAAAGCATTTAAAATACAGTATCGTAGTATTGATACTGTTCAGATGTTTTGGAGAACTCTTACAGGTGGATTAACTCTTACAAATCAGTCTGTTTCACTGTACTAGGAGTTGCATAATACATTTAATCCTATAGTTCTTCTAAAATAAGGTTTGCATGGTGTGGTTAAACCACAGGATAAAATGAGGTTCTTTTTATTGTTCCTTGTTCTAACTTAAAAGCAGCATAAAACTGAAGTTTACAAGAGTGCTTTATTTGGAGCTAAAGTTATGAACTGATGTGGGAGATTACTTTCTGTTACTTGTAGTCCTTGCCCTGTACTAAGGATTAATGGCCTTTTGGATGTTTCATACTGAGGTTAAGGGAAAAACCTCCTGAGCTGGTGATAGTTCACTGTCAGGAATCGTTTGCACACCTCTGACAACAGCCAATTATGTGTTGTACTATAGCAAACCACAGGATGCTGTAGCTTTAGAGATTTTGAGAGAAAATCCTGTAGGATGTTTTGTCACTCATCTCTGGCAAATCTGTCACCTCCCATAAATGTATGTCTTGAACTTAACGTATACAAAGTGAAATATGTTTGAGTTTGGAGAATCGGGGCCTCTCTTCTTAAGGAGTTGCTTTCCTGTTCTTATGGCACTGTAATTCTGCCATGTTCCTGTCAACAATATTTTCTTTTCTTTTTTGTTAGAAGGTCAGAAATTGTATTCTATGTTCCAGTAAAGGAAACGGACCAAAAAATCAGTCTTTCTGCGGAGGAAAGGAAGAGAAGCAATTGAAAAAGGAATCTTTCCATGTATTTGGTTTATATCCCTTTCGCGTATTTGTTTTATATGCCTTGTTTTGAGACAATTGTGGCTTGTCTCAAGGCTTCTCAAAATGACATCCTTGTTCATTTTTTAATCTATGACAGACCTAGTGAATGCAGTAAGTTGTGTGTGTTGTCTTCAAAAAAACTACAGAACTACTGTGACTGAAAAGGATAGGGTTAAGCTCACGTGTTGAATATTTCAAGTATAAAAATCCCTGTACCCTGAGGTTCCACAGTAGATATGAGAGGGATCTCACTTTGTACTCTATTGGGATAGGAATAGCTTTTTGCCAAACAGCGTGTGTGTTCTAAGAAGCAGCAGCAAGTAATTCAGGAAAGACTGCACAAAACAGCTAATACTTCCCTTTTAAACTAAAGGGAAGCACCGGAAGTGACACAGAATAGTACTGGGGCAACTGAACGGGAATTGGCAAACAACGAACCTGAAACTGGCTAGAAAGTGCAAACTATAGGTAGCAAATGCTGAGTCTCAAAATTAATTGTTAGAGATGTTATATTCTCAGTTTGTGGCAAGGTGAGGAGAGGTGTCTGACTTTTTCACCGCCTAGTGTTGTACCTTTATGAGGGTAATGGGAAGCTATCTGGCTGGAAGGCTTCATAAATGGGATGTCTGCACCTCAGAATCTTCAGCTCTAATGTTGCAGAGTCCAAGACATGTTGAGAATTTGAGTTGATGGGATGATAGGTTTTGTATGTGGGCGATTAGTAAGAACTTGTTGAATCATGGACATAGTGTATATAGTATACTGGAGATGAAGAAGGTTGATTTACGGTAATGACTTTGAAAGTAAATTTCTAAATACTTCAGATTTTTCTGTGTGATATTCTTTAAAAAGAAGAGATTGTGGTAAACTTTCACAACAACCATTTCTAGATGATTTTACCTTATTCTTTGTAACATAATCTGCTTCACTCTAACACAGTCAAACAGCAAGCCTTCCTCCCCTCTTCTCATACAGAGCTAGACCTTGCAGGTGTTGGTCAAAGCTTCCTAAGCTCGTGTTGATGCTGGTGGACAGTAGGAGAGATTAACTTTTGATTAGCCTTATAGTATCATAATTTAGTTTCACATTTACTGATGTGGAGGGAAAGATGTTGAACTCCTGTTGTAACAGATTACATTGCATTTCATATATGCTATGACATTTTTCATAATAGCTAAAGATGAGTTTTTGAATAGCTGGAATTTCTCCCTTTTTCCCCCTGTGTTGAATACTTAACTTGCAAAATAATCATTCTTCAGTGAAGGCACTAATGTTGCACAGATGGTACCAAAGCACTTCCCTTTGATTTTTAATAAGGGACTAGTTTGTCAAAGAGATTTCTCAACTTCTGTTCTGAAACCCATAATAGAGAATAATTTGAAAGGCACACAATGTGCATCATTATATTCCTTTGATGCAGATTAATGATAGCTAAACCACATTTTCTAATTGCTCCTTTTTTTCCTGCTCTAGCCTGTTATTGCACTACAGCAGAACTTGGAGATGTAGCTCTCTAGTTGCAAGGTGCTGTGTGTCTCCTAATATTTTTGTCTACTCTCAACCCTTTTAATACTTAAGGAATTCAAATGAAGAATTAAGAAATTTAAATGTCAGCATTAAGAAACTTGTGCTTATTATGTGCAAATAAGTAATTTAGAAAGAATTCAGTTAATACATTGTGTATATGAATGTTATATTTAATAGGTAATGGAGAGTAAATTTACTGCATTTATTATAGACTGATTCTAATACTGTTACTATGGATAGTCTTTACACTATTGCAGATGCTTAAAATCTAGAATTAGTAAGGCATGCTTTACTGATTTACCTTGTCTTAATGCATCTCTAAAAATTTGGTGAGGATACTTTTTATGTATTAAAGACAATTAAATCTTAATCATATATAGTAATTTTCTCATTCCTGTTGAGACGCAAGCTCTGGCTTCCAACTTGGTGACAGCAAAGTATTCCTTTGGATCAATTTTTCTATGAGCAATTTTCTCTGAAGGTAGTTTAACTGAATGCACTTAGCTACCAGATAATACCCTCTTTATATAAATTAACATTTACATATTAAACCATGGGAACTTATTTTCAGTTTCTTAGCAGTGTGTCTCTTCTCTCTCTCCCTCTCACAGCTCTGGGTCCATCAAAGGATTAGATTTTCAGGGAGGGTAGATTGGCCATTTTTCCTTATTACTTCTCCCTACCTTGTACACTTTGGAAATGGAGGAAAGGCGCAGCAGAGTCTAAGAATAACGTTTTTTGCAGATGCTACGCAGAACTGTTCAGGTAAAGTTGATGTTAGCTACAGAGTATTCAGAAGGATGGAGTTATTGAAGAATGGCTGAGAGACAACACACACCCTGGCAGAAATTGCAGTTTCTTCCCCAGTAGGCTATGGAGATGCCCTGGGTGTGCATGGCTGGCCTCTCAATGTGACAGATCTCTTTCATAGTATGTGTGGCCTTTTACTCATGTTCTGCAAGTGCCTCCCTGTTCTAAAACATGCAACATACTCTTTTACACCTAAAGTAGTTGCATGTGAGGAAAAATAATCCTGGGAAAGTATTTATGTGGTGTATTTTCAGCAGGTTATAAAAAACCCTGACTAGTAAGTCCCTGCTGAGCAACCAGTAAGGAACAGATCAGTTTAAGAACCCTTGTGGTTGATTTTTCATGAGCTTTCTCACTGCCAGAAGTGGTATATACATAGCTTCCAGTGTAAATACTTAATTGTGTTATGCTGCTTTAGATCCTACTTCTGAAGGACAGTGCCTTTGATTGAATTTGTCACTTGGACTTTAAAGTCTTACTGTGCTATACACATCAAAAGAAATTCTGGCCATCACAAAATTGTTGCACAAATTACTTTTGCAAACTGATTTTATTCTTGCTTTTTACTTGGAGATGACTAATAGTTCTAGCAAGGTAAATATTTTCGAAGGAAATCTGCTAGTTGTGTAAACAGTGAAGGCAAGTAAATAGTAACTGTTTTATATTTTGCATCTGTTTTCAATCACGCTCTATCCTTTTTAGATGTTATCGTCAGAATGAAATTGGATATGATAACTTCCTGAAGGCTAGCTAGTTATGAGATTTCAGTCTCAATTTCAGTGCTTTTTTTTCCTGTTTGCACCAAGCCCAACCCTACAGTAAAACCAAATAGCTGCATTTCTGTGCTTGATGATTATCTTTAGATACCTAAATGATTGATTAGCTAGCCTCAAGCTGTATTCTTAAAGACACTTTTGGTCTGATGCCTTACATATTCCTCTAGCCAAATCTCCTAATACCTAGCATGTTTTACTTCAAGGGGTAAGTAGGGTAATGTAAATCAGGATTGAGGAAACATTTAACCTTGAAATATTGCTTTAAAAGAAAACTGCAAATGTCTATTTTGGTGTTGAATTAGTAGCTATACGACTCTGGTTTAAGTGACATTTCAAACTTTTTTGTGGCTAAGGGATTTGGACTAGTTTGTCTGCTATCTGTGAGTTTATTACAGCTTGCTGTGAAAAACAGGCTGTAGCTACTAACACCAAAAATGGAAGAGAAGGTATGGAGAAGACAAATTATCCATAGAAAGTTAATGCACTGAAGTGAAAGTAACACGTTGTAGTGAGTGTCTGTCTTTCACTTTTAATAACTGAGACGTGATATAGTTTATTTCAAGAATGTTTAAAAACCCCACTAATCTTGGTCTTAGTTCTGTTTAAAAGTAATAATATTAATACCCTACTTGCCTCACTAGGCAAAATTAATATTGGTTTTGTGCTTGATTGCTATAAATCACCAGACTTTTGTGAATGGTAGTTTAGTCCCTGAGGCTGGAGGCAACATAAAGAATGAGTTGTACGTTTACTTTGGAGGACTTGTCCAAATAACCAAAAATAACTTAGGTTTCCAAGAAGGAATCTGTAAAATCTGTTATAGCTCTTTTGCACTGAAAGAGTTGTTGTCAAATTAAATTAGTGTCTAACTTAGAGGTCACTTTATGCTCCTTAATTTATTCTTAAGCCATTGAGGACACCATTTATAGTCCTTGCACTCAACTGTTATCTCATGCACTGGGAGTACAGGATATTCCTCCATTGTCTTGGTTGTTGATTTGTAATATGCTGTACGATGTGACTTATAAAATTGCTTCACTGCATATTTTTAAAGAAATGTTTGAGATCATCAAAATGTGTAGCTTCCTTGGAATTATTTACTACCAAGTGGTAAAGGATCAAATGACAGGACACAGTTACTTACAGATTTTCTATACATTCCTCTGCTATATCTGTGGAATCAGTCAAAACTTCTCAGGAATGTTCAACATTCTTATAAGGCTGTTATTTTCACTTGCTTGCAGTTATGCTCCCTGTTCATCTTCAGATGAACTGTAATATCTTTTCAGAAAATTGTTTCTGTGCTCTTTTGTGTATGCGCAGACTACTTTGGGTTTTCCTTGGAAATAGGTTTAACAGTGAGAGAACCAGCTTCTCTCCTCTTTAGAATCTGGTCAGAAATCTTCTATGCACACACTGCTTTGCGAACCCAGACTATTGAGGAAACTTCTCTGCCAGAGTGCTCACTTGCCTAGTGGGTGAAGCTAGTGATCCCTAGCTGCACTGGGATCCCTGAACTCCAGAGTGGCATGTGACCTTGCCAGTTGTTTTAAAGCCATTACATGTGTGTCTTCAGAAGAAATGAAGGCATTCATATGTTGTATTTAGTAACACTTCATCAGTTGTTACAATTGTTATTCTGATCTTTTTTCTTTGTGATCTTCTACTGAAGAGTACTCTGTAAATTATTTTTCCTCTTCCCTGATGCACTTAGATTCAACAGAAGATCTGTCCATACCAACGGACTCAAACTTTGGAAAAAAGAATAAGAAGGAACAGATAAAAATGTGGTTCAGCCCAAGAAGTAGGAAGATTCGATGCGTCCTGAACAAGAGTCAGCCTGAGACTAAAAGTGATGACCTTTGTCAAGACACACCTTCAATTTACGATTTCTTTTCTTCTCCTCCTCGTGAAAAGCCCTCCAAGCCGACAAAAAAGCCAACACAGAGACAGAGTAAGAAGATGAAGAAGAAACGTCTGGCAGACATTAACAAAGTGTGGAGCTTACAGAAGCCTGAGCAGAAAGGAGGAGTTGAGGAGAAGACTCCCAAGGAAAAGCGTGTGACTGTCTGCAGTCAACCGGTAGTTCTGTGCACTCCAGAACCAAGTAGCCCTGAAAAGGATTATTTAAAGGAAGCTGACTCCAGCAAAAATACAGAAAGTGTGGAAATACTGCCACGGGTAAAATCCTCAGAGAAGAAAGATAACAGTGAGGTTGTGCGCCTTGCACAAGTCAGCAAGGAAAAAAATTGCGCTACAGAGACATCACTGTCAATAGAAAATGAAACTACGCCTTTAAAACGTGGAAGGGAGCAATCCAGACTTCCAGATACTTCTCAGTCTAAAAGACCAAGAAGAACCGAGAGGAGCATTATTGGGAAGTCAGTCAGTCAGTCAGATTGCTTAGAGGAGTTACCTCAGGGTTGCCCCATCTCCCCAGTGACTGAACACAAGACCCCAGCTCAGAATTCTTCCTCTGTATCGAAACTCACTGACACCGTAATGAAGACAAGAAGCTCTGCACTCTTTCAAGCAATAAATAGTCCTTCACTTTCAAAATCTCCCTCTACCCCATCTACTTCTAAGGCTTGTAATCAAGTAGGAATACCACACAGTCCTTCTGTGTTGAAGTCCCCTGGTGGTAACACAATTGCCAGAAGAAATTACAAAGGAGAGACTTTGCTCCATGTTGCTTCCATCAAGGTAGGAACATCATCTTATAGTTCAACTTTAAACAGGGGTTTAAAAAGACAATATTGTATTAAAAATATCCTGGAAAGCAGTTACTTCAGTACATCCTATTTCTGGGGGGGAAATCTCATCTTGTGGTCTTTTTCTTCTAGGTTTATTGGGGAGTTACCAACCTTATTCTCTGATTTCATGAATGGATGATCAAAGATGGTTATACTTGAGAAACTCAATGTACTACAGTGTCAGTTATACCTATGACTTCTAGGAAGTGATAAGCATTCAAATGCTTTGGCCTTATGTGCCAGAAAGCTGTCTCTGTGATTTGTCATAAGGAGTTTAGCTAAGTATTTCAGATCTCACCGAGTGATCTTGATCAGTTTAACTTGACCTGGTAACTCAGCCAGGACAAGATCTGAATTACCTACATAAAGATAACTCTATGCAACCTTAATTGAGGTGAACTATTTTATAATCTTTGAGATCCTCCATCTAATGCAAGTGTTGGCTCAAGAGGAACAAAATGCTGCACCCTGTGATTCCCATGCTAAGCCCTATGCTCTGAGCATGCTGTCCTCACAGATAGTAGAGAAGGGAGAATTAGGAGAGAGTTGGAATGTTCTCAGTAGACTTCACTTTTATGTAGGATCAGTGTTATTCTTGGAATGACAGCTGTCACTCATTTTGCTGTTATTATCTTAGCCAGTTCCTGCTGTGGTAGAACTTCATGGCTTTGCTCTCTGCAAAGGCTAAAAAAAAATAAAAAAGCTACACAGGTAGGGTGAATTGAATGCTTATAGTCAAACTTAGCAGATGCACTAATATGGCAGCTCTCTTCTGAGAGGTCTTTTCAAAGAGTTTGTAGTCTGGCAATTTAAATGTACGTTGTGCTAAATCATAATATAGAAATACTGTGTGGCTAATAAACTGCCTATACTGGTAGAATTGATTCGCCTGTAAGCATCCTGACATTTATACAGCACTTCTATTTGTTGAGACAAAGGCTGTTCTTGATAAATAACTGTGTCCTCTTTCAAAGGCATTCTAATAAGCCACTCCTGCTGCACGAGACCTTTTTAAATGGAAGTGGCAGCTGAGCTGAGTTGAGTTCAAATATCTTACTTGATGCCATTAATATGGAATTAGGGAGGAGAAAAGGAAACATTGTCCTCACAGAACTCGAGCTTTAAAGGATCTCTCGTTACCTCTCATCATAAGTCCTGAATATTCCTTTTTATTAAAGCACTGTTTACAAATTTGCCTTCCATGATTTTCTGGGAATTTGTAAGGAATACTATTATGACTGACTGGTTCTAAAAAAAATTGATCTACCGTGTCAAATTTTCACACAGGTATTGTTTCCAGGAATACATGTGATACTTATTGTGAGATTTGGAGTGAACAGTGATATGCCAATAATGTGGTTTTTCATTGCAAAGAATTTTGAAGATAGATGAGTAAAAAAAAGTGATGTTATAGACAAAAAGAATAAACAAGTTTTGTCTATCCAAGATTAGCAGCGTGGCTGGCACTGCTTGTTGGCATTGGTACAGCCCTCTGAAAAGGGATAGGGCATTTCAGAGGGCTGAAAAGCTGACCTCCAGCTGTAGTGTAGGCAGTGGGGTGGGCAGACACATGAATACTTTTTTCAGTCCTGTGTGTGAATTCATTTTGGTGTCTTCTTTTAATGTTTATAATTGTTGAGCTAAAATGTGAAGTTGCTTCTGTTCCTCATTAGTTCTGCTGTGGTTTTAATTCATCAATTCTGTTTGCATTGAGGTGCTCATTAGTGAAGGCTTGTTTAACTAGGTAGGGCTTCAGGGTGATCTCAAAGTTACCACTCTCTTTTAAAGGTAATTAAAATAAGGCAAGGAAAGTGGTCTTTTGGTTATGGTCTTGGTTTACTTGCGTGTATCTCTGTTTCCAGCTACTAAACTTCCAATGCAACTCCAAATGCAAGAAAGTTGTTCTACTGTCTCTGAACCTCAGATCCTCATCTGTAGAGGGAGGTTATACAGATTATCTCCTTTCATTTGTGTTCTTTGTTCTTGTTCTATAGCTTAATCATGGGTACATTATGGCATTCCTAAGAAGATGCTGCATCCCCTGGTAGCCAGTAAATGTTGACACAGTTACTAGTTCATGTCAAAGTGGATTAAGACTAAGTTGCTCAAGCCAGATGATGTGAGGACTTGGTCTTTCTAGGGAACTATTGGTCATGGGTTTTGCTAACGTTTTACTTTTGTGAAGCAGTGAACAAGAAAGAGTGGTGATTAATTGCCATGAATCTGCTGGGGATGTGTGGCAATTGCAAGAAAACATTTTTTTGCATTCAAATATCTTTCATATAACCTGTATGTTTCTAGATCACTCTTGTAAGCGGTAGGAACCCTACTATGGAACTGATAAATGTGTTTTCTCAAAGAAGCTGCTCTTGAAAATACTAGGCTTTATACTGTATGTATATTCTCATTGTTTGTTTGTTTGTTTTTTCAAAATAGCCCTGTCATTTTTTTCTGTTTCTGGAAGAAGTATTTCTCTTCCAGTTTTGTTTTATAGGTGATTTTTTTCTTGTTCTTTCCACAGCCAGTACTGTTTTTCAATGTGTGTAATGGGAAAGACTTATAGCTGCCACCCTCCCCCCAAAGTGAAATAAAGTCTAATTCTCTGGGACTTCATTAATTATAAAAATAAATCTGTATTATTTTCATTAGCTGTTAGAGTCTAATACCCTGAATTTAATTAAAGCTAATTGAATTCTCCCTTTTTCTTATTTGAAAGAGATAATAAACAACATTATCAGGCATTAAAATTAAGTGTATTGTGCTGTTTCAAATGATTCTGAGGGATTGTCCCCGTTTACTACTACTACTAGTTATTAACTTACTGAAATCAAAATGGTTCTCAAGAAAGGTTCTAGTGTGGATGAACTTAATGCTGAGTTAAACTAATAAATTAAAATAAATGTGGCTCTTCCCATAGCAAACAGCCGTCATGTTTATCTTCGTCCATAGTCATTAAAGGTAAAACTTCCAATTAGTTAAAATACAAAATGTGACCTATTGCACTCATAATATTCTAAACTGGTAGGAAATTGCCCAATCAACAGCCCTTTCACATAGGAATTTTTTTACAGTAAAATAATGAGTTGTTCACAGGACTAGCTCTTTTGTGGCAATTAAAAATGCAGCACAGTACTACTTAACTAGTTAGTACGGAGTCTTAAATCTACTATGGAGAGAAAAAGCAATGGTTTCTTGGCACAGTATTTCACGTCTTGGTTGTACCTATGTTTCCTCTGCATTGACAAGGGAGATGATGGGGCAGTTCAGTGTGGAATGGCTGCCACTATGGATTCCAGGAAGAGGAATAGCAAACTGCAGTGCAACAGGATGACAGAGGACCATGGCAACAGCCACACTGTAACAAAGGAGTGGATGGGAGGTAGCTAGGAAAAGGTTTTGATTTTTATGCTTCAAGTTAAAAGCGATTAGAGAGTTGTCCCTGTTCTGAGGAAAGAAGAAATTGCGTCTATGCAGAGCATCTACTTAGTCTGAAGAAAGAGAGAAGGAGCGTTGGGACTAGTTTTAGTTACCTCCTGTTCCAGGGACCCTTTAGTTTTGATGGTTGACCAGGAGGGCCTTCATAAAGGCTTCACCCATGGCTAGCCGGCTGTGCTGGACTCTTCATATTCATTATACTTAACACTGTAATAACTATTAGATAATTCCTTCCGAGCCTGTGAGACCGTTCTTCCTTTTTATTGCTTTGTTACCAGTTAATGACACATTAGAAAGTGAAAGAAGATTTTGTGGTTTTGTGAGCATGTGATGGCCAACGTCAGAATACCTTTTAGATACTTTTTCAGGTGTCTCTGACCTAGTCAGCTGTGCAGTTGCTCACTTTTGGTACCAGGTGGGTATGTATCGTGGTTGAGTGTTGGGTCACACGTGTCCATGCGAGGAATGTCTCCCCTCCTGCCTTTCCTCTTGAGCCTTTGGGTACAAGAGGGGAGTTGTGCTGCTGCACAGCCAGACACTCCCAGCCTCCCCTGAACAAAAGGCAGTGGATGGACAGCATTATTCCTGCCAGCTGCTTCACAGTGAATGAATGCATCCGTTGGTCCAAGGTCTTTTTGTCCAGACCTCATGATTTTGTGTGGCAGGTGACTTAGCTGCGTGTATAATACCCATTTCACTGCAGAAATGGGGTCTGCTGGCAGAAACTAGCAGGATGACTCAGATAGAGGTGTAGCACCTGAGACTGCTTTGGAGTTGTAGTTTGGCATTGACTCTCTAATGTTAAAGCCACGTGGTACTGGAATGGTAAGCAGCCTCCTGATTATGGGTGGTATCCAGCAGATAGCTTAAGACAAATATGAAGCAGTGTAATGGTTTCAAATGCAGAACTTAAGAATGCGAAAATTGGCCGTGAGTCAAAGCAATTCATCTTCCCAAGTGCTGATTTGAAAGCTTAGGAACAAATTGCCATTTCTTTTTTGGTAATGCTTGGTTGTTACTTCTCTTGTTTCTGGGGTGGGTTAAACTTAACTTCTTGAATGTTTTCTTTTTGTTAAAGGTTAAGCATAGCTACTTGTATGCTTGTTAGTTAATAAATGGTCTGCTGGGTAGGGAATTAATTTAGAGAAATTTTAGGTGAGAAATTCGCTCGTTCCTGGAAAGAGGTGATTGGAGCATTCACAATTATTATAAGCACTCTGTAATTCATTTTTGCCCTCTTTGACCACTTATCATGAATTGTAAATAACCTCGTTTTCCTCCCCACCGCCATAACTTAAGTGAATGTATTTGGATTTGAAAGGGTTTTTTTGTTCATTTGTTTGACCTAAAGATTGAAGTCACTTGGTTACCTTTGCAAATAAATGGAGAAGTGTTTGGTTGATGTCGTACAGGTTTTTAGCTTCATCTTCATGTACGGCCCTAATTCTTTGGGTCTGTCTTTTGAACTGGTAGAATATGTTTTCATTAACTTAATAATTTAAATGTGACTTTTGGGTGGAAAATATCTATGGTTAATGGCACTAGGAAAGGGTAAAATGGAAAAAAAAAACACCTAGAAAATAGGGCTAAAAGAACACTTGCAGTTCTTCTTAACCATCTGTCTGCATTAACGTCGTGACACAATTGACTTGGAAAAAAAGAAAAAACCAAAACCTTGTCTAAGCCAAGTGAGGATGGTTTTCTGGGCTTATGCCATCTGTGTCTGCAGGAACTAAATTCTCATTGGGAGGGACGTGTTTGTAAAGCTGTGTAAATACCCTTCTCTGTGTAAGCGAATGCTGTCTTCTAGAGCTGCCGACAGATGGCCCCAATGCCTTTCTTGCTTCTGTGGTTTTCAGAGCTCCCTTAAGCTGTAGCAGAGGAAGAGCAAACTCATTGCATTATTGCGTTGTCACTATACATAAGCTTGTTTATGAGCTTAAAATGTCATTTGCTTTGTTTCTTCCAAAAGGAAAATTTTACATTCTGCAGTAGCTTCTGCCTCTTCAGAAGCTGGTTGTAATCCTTCATTGATAATGAGATTTAAAAATAAACACTTCCCCGTGAATTGTTGATGTTACCATTTTTCTACCTGGTGTTTGTCCTGTTCTGTACTTCTAAACAAGTAGTATCTCCAATTACGTTTCCACTCTGCTGTTGCTACAGTCTGCTAAGACAAGCTGTGAGGGCCCCTCCTCATGGTATCATCTGGTATTGTTATGACTCCATATTTGGGACCGGTGATTTTATGCTGGCACTGCTAGATCAAGTAAACTCAAGGGGCTAAATGTACAAAGTCTATTTCAATACTAGTCAAAGCACAACTTTATGAAGCATGTTGAATTAGTAATCTCAAAGCAATAGGTGGGTATAGGTGTAGTCTCTTCTGCTTTCTTGTGGAGGAAAGGCACATGGTATATAGATACTTGTGGCTAGGACTTGCACCTACCAGGTGCTTAGCCTTTCTTGTTTAGAGTTGAGCAAAACATTAATTAACTTTTAAATGTGTGAGTAATTCCATCAACTCTGACAAAATTGGTCAATGTGTTAATTGCACTTTTTTTACTTTTGGATCACTATCGGATGATGGTGGTGGTCTTTGCAGGAGGGACCCTAACACATGTCTGCTAAGGATCTGCTTCTTGAAATTTCATCTTCCTCTCTTTAACTAAATATTCACAATATCGTAACTGACTGAAGAGCTGCTGAGGGGACAAAAGGCACGTTCTCCTGTGGATGTTGTTAGTACTGGTGTCCACACCAGCAACATTTCCTTTTATAAAACTGCAGTACTGTTTTACAAATCAATGTTCACATAACTGTTCTGAAAAGCTGTGATACTACCTAATGCTCACACAAATTACTAGCTATGCTTACTGCTCTAAAGGAGTACTCTTGAAATGTCAAACCCTTGCTGTACACGTTTGCAAATTTAACTTTAAATGATAAGCTCAGATCTCACTCATTATCGATAATTGTATGTTCTCTCTGTAGAAAAAGATCTAATGCTGAGCACTGTCTTAGCTGCCTCTGAATAACTTCAGATTTGATGCATGTCTATTACTTTGCAATCATAAAGTATTCCAACAGCAGCGTATTCTTTAATTGCTTTGAAAGGTAACATTTTGCTGGGACATCTAGGTTGTGAATATAATCCATGAAATTTCTCTGTTAATTTGCTTTGACTGTTGTAAAGCTAGTGATTCTCAGCATTTTTTTGGGTGAATTTTGAGTTTCCAATTGTTACTTGCTGGATTTATTTCTCCTGAGCAGAGTCTGTCTTAAAATTTTCTCTAACTAAAGAGCAAAGATTAAAGCTATTTTGTTTTTCCAAAGTGTTCCTTGATAACAAAAAAAGGATTAAGATTATTTTTTTGTATTTAAAGTTTAATTTAAGTTTCCCACTTTTTCTAAGGTAGACTGTGGTGTAACAGTTAGGAATTCCTTAACTTGCCACTACTTACGGGCACAGAACTTTCTGTATATCATGGATTAAACTTGTCTTCCCCCTTCCAGGTCCTAATATTTTATATATTGCAAGTGTGGCCAAGGGCAAGAGCTAGATACTAGTTTGTTTATTAGTCTCTTCATTGGGGATCACAATACCCTGGTCTAGGTAAAGGTGTTAGTGGTCATCTTGAAATGCTTGGTTGGGGCGGATCCTAAAAAACAACCCCCGCCACCCCCAAACCTCCCCCCAAACCTAAAATAAAAAGAATTAGGGCACTGGTTGCAAGCCATGCAGAAACTTGAGGCCTACTGTGCTAGTTTAGCCTTTGAAAAGCTTGCATTATTTACGTAGTTTTGGTCATTAGATGACAGTTGGCAATCTCCTCCTTCCCTGTTACTCTGTCAGCTGAGAAATGGTGCATAACTCCTCCTAATCTGTAATAGTGCAGGTGAATCATTGTTTTGGCCTGAGAGGTGGTACCGGATGCTGAGAGGTGTGGGACAGCCTGGCCACAGTTGTGTACCTGCAGCTGTGGAGGGTTCCCAGCATTATAGCAAAAATTTTCGAACAGAATTCATGGCGCCTCTTCCAGTAGGGCAGACCTTTGCAGTTGCTGCTCTGTAGTAACGAATGCCAGAAGCAGTAACTGGCTGACATGGCACAAAGTGAGTTTTAAGTACCAACATGCTGGGGTGCAGACGGTGCTGTGAAAGGAGAGGGGGGTCAGAGTCTGGTTTCAGTCTCTTTGGGTTACTTTTCCCACCTGCTTTTAAGAAGACCTGCACTGCAGGATTTCCTTGCCTCAGTTTCTGCAGGAGGCTTCGCCTTGCCTATTTGTATCTGCATCTGTGTATGCTCCAATCTTATTACTACTTTCTCCCTTATACTAGCCTTTTAAGAATGTCAAAACCTCTGATTCACAAATTCTGCCCAGTTGCTTCCTTCACTTTGGCTGTACTCAGCCTCTTTCCTCTTCCCATAATCTCTGCATCAGTTTCCACCCTTTTCCACATAGAGTTCCTTGCTTATAGTAAAAACTGAATATAGTGTTCTTCCAAAAAGCAAATGAAAACTATTTTGGTAGAATAACTGTCAGAGAAAGTGTCAGTGAGATTCAACATGAGTAGTAATTGCAGTGTTAAATAAAACTTTCCCTTTTCCTTTTGACTTGTGGGAAAACAATTTATAGAGGCTTGTCAGGCTTATTAATCTATTTCACCTATGCATGTTTCTAGTCAGTTATTTAGATTAGTTTAAAAAAAAAATCCAGTCTGAAGGACAAAGGCATTCTAAATAAATGTTCCTGATTTTAATCCTTGCAGTTGACTCTAGTGGACAGATTGCAATCAGCACAAACTTGTCCATTTATTCTGACTTAAGTCTGTTATGTGCATTGTTTTTATCTAAAAATATATATTTGTGTAAAATGTGTAGGTGCTTCTAAATGAACAGTAATGATAAACTGTGGTCTCCAAACCAGTTGAGTTTTTGGTATTCTGACAATATCTAAATGGAAAGCTTGTATCATTACATTTTTATTGCAGCTAAATTTATAATTCTGTATCTCTTAAATTTTTCTTGTCTTTGTGTATCTTCTTCATTACTTTTTAATAACTATGTTTTTTTTTTTTTTTCCTATGTAGGGTGACTTAGCAGCTGTTGAACAGCTGCTGAAAAATGGGGCAGATCCCAATGTCAAAGATAATGCTGGCTGGACACCACTGGTGAGTGTTGAAGACTTTTTTCTGTTATCTGCCTTCTAATCAGATTTCATTTCATCCCTCCTTTCCTCTCCCATATTTTAGTTCCCTTTACATGCATTTAGGTGACAAAGAATTATGCAAAGTGAAGAAGTGAAGATAAACAAGTTTAAAACAAGTTTATTGGCAACTACTGACCTGCCCTCTCCCTTGCTGGGGTAGGGCATGCCAAAAAAATCTAGCAGCCTGTGATTCTGCAAATGCAGAAAATATAACTATGATAACTAGAAAACAGTCAATTGCAGACAATGTGTATATTTTATGGGTTCTTAATGTCCTCAGTGTTTTTTACCATTTTGGAAATATATCAAGTAGTTGAATGAAAAAATTGCTCACTTGAATTACAGAAAATAAGCAAAAGGTTCTTTTCAACCATGACTTCCTCCTCTCCTGAAGAATACTCTTGACAGAGCGTGTAATCTGGGAGGCTTTGTTCCCTGTAGTCTAATTTGCACACAATTAGCCTTTGTTCAGTTCTTCTCTATGCTTTTTATTAGTGCTACATTCCAAGGTTAATTCATGTCAGGAATGTAATGCTGTATCCTTGCATCGTCTTCCCCGACCATCTACTGAGAGGTGTTTGGAAATGAATGTGTTAACTGGTGTGACAGAAGGCCTTCCTCTGAATTCTGTTTCACTTGAGTTTCCTCTCTTATGGATTTACTGAACTAGCACGAGGCGTGTAATCATGGGCACAAAGAAGTGGTGGAGCTGTTGCTACAATACAAGGCGTTAGTGAATACTACGGGGTATCAGAACGACTCGCCGCTTCATGATGCTGCCAGGAATGGGCATGTGAGCATTGTTGAGCTGCTGCTTTTGCATGGTGCCTCCCGTGATGCAGTGTAAGTAGATGTGGAATGTTATTTTAACTGCTGCATTAGCTGTAGCTACAACTTCCAGGGTGTATGTTAAGTAAGTATGAAGCAAAGCTAGTAATAAATGTGATTTAGTTGAAGTGAAGGGGTGGGTGTTAAACATATGCTCTGCTATACTTATATCCTCCTTTTCCAGGTAGGTGTTTCCTTTCCATTTTGCTTTGTTCTAAGCTTTTTCTGAGGACATCTGAGTCAGATAGCTGGAGTATTGGAGGCTGTATTAGGAAAGTAACAAAATATGCTTACCCTATTCTTACACTTTCCTGTTGGCATCTTGTTATAGCTACTGTCAGATCTAAGATGCTCAGCTAGATGAGTTTTGAACTGCTACAGCTGTTTTTTGTCTCTTTACTTTTACTACACTACTTGCTAGCAGAAGGTGTTTCAGTCCAGTCTCTTCCACCTTCACAAATGACATAGACACAGGCTGAGATTTGGGGAGTGTGTTTTATTTTTTTCCATTCTGGATCAAAGCACTAATCCTTGGTACACTTTTTAATTAAAAATAAAGCTTAGAAATATTTTCAGTTGAATCTTCTGTACAGTTACGCCTCCTGAAGATTTTTAAATTTGTGTATAGGAGGTGCTAAAGAATGTTACTCTATGAATAACCCTGCAAGCTATTAGTATTTCAGATACTAAATGCGGTTTTAGGTGTTGTAGTATTGCTGTTATGCCAGGGCCTGTGTGTATAAAATTTGAGTCCAATGCATGTTGTCAATAGGTGTGTGTATATAGTAACATGATAGGATGAAGTCTTGTGTGACATGAATTTCTTTGCCAATGGCATAAAGAAGCATAAACAAGTTCAGCTCTCAATATTTGCTCTTGAAGCTTACAGAATTATCCACAGAATAATCTGTGGAAAAGCATAGCATTTTCAGAAACAGTCCTAATCTTGAATATACTGGAGTTTAGAAAAAACTGAAACAACAAAACAAACCCACAAAACTTTAGCATGAAAAAGTAAAACAAGGATCAGTTGTTCATCTTCACTTTGTTCTTGAACAACAAAGACCAGCACATTACACCTTGAAAATCTGACAGCTTCAGAAACTAATTTTCAAGCCACTTGAATATCGGGAACTGCTTGTGTGACACTTATCACTTGTCTATCTGGTATTTGAAAGCGTAGCACAGCCAACAGCTTTGATGCAAGGTTTTGATGGGACTTAAGCACTGGTAGATTTGCACAGCCAAGACTCCAAATGCCAACACTGGACTCCTCAGGTCTCTTTACTAGCCTTAGTCTCTGCCGCGTGTGTTCACGCAAACTGAGATGAAGCTGAACCTCTTTCAGCTCATTCTACATGAGCAAACATGACTTTCTATTGAAACAGAAGCTTTTTAATCATGGAAGGAGAGATTTATGTAAACCTTAAGCTCTGTCTTAGCTTTTCACTGAATACAGGTAATGTTTGGTTGTATATTAAAACAATGTGACATAGGATATGTCACAACTCTGCAACTAGCTCCCTCTTGCAGTACCTCTAAGTATGAAAAATAGCTTCTAACCCACTTCTAAGTATGCACTGTTCTTGACTTAATCTCCAGGGTACTTGGAACCTCTAGTGTGTGGTGTGAATAAATATATATACATTTTTTTCTTTTAACTTAAAATCTTTTCGGGAACAAATTTAGCTGCCTTTAATCTTTGTTTCATTTGTCTGGCAAAAGGAACCACAGGTGCTTTGGCACAAATCTGGTCCTGTACGTCCCCCCTGGAAAAATCGAGGCTTCCAAATCTTCTGTAGGCTCTCTATCTCTGCCTGAAATGCTACTGTGCATGTTACTATTGCATTGATGATGGAAAGGGGTTGGGAGGTTTTTTCCCCTATTTTTACAGAGAGCATTGGAGACACAGAGAAAGGGATGTACAAGCAAAGTGTTCAGGCTTGAATAGTAAGACTTTACTGACCTCTTCCAAACACTACCAAGAAACAATAGAAACATGTCTTGTGCGTCCCTTCCTTCCTGTGCCCTGCTAGCTTCCAGCAATGAATTGTGCCATGATCTCACCCTGGATCATGACTTTGCAAATCTTACAGTTTTTTTCTTCTGCCAATGCCTCTGGTAGTTGTAGTCCTAATTAAACAGTGGTTGGATTTGTCTAGATAAGTGGATTTGAACCTTCTTTAATGTAGAAGGTTTAAATATTTTTTTTTCTAGTGGATGCAGGTACCCTTATAATGAAGTCACATCTGACAAGAAGCTTGCTTTTCTTCAGTGACTTTTCCTAAGTCCCTGAGACCTGCAGACCACAGTTTTAAAAACAGGAGGCGAGAGCAGATTTAAGATTGTGCAATTATAGTTCTTTTCAGTATGACTAGTTATAATTGGCCTCTTTGTACTTAATGCAGGATCTGCTCACCTTCACATCATTACTCTAGGATCTTTAAAGTAGAAATTGAGCGGTGGTGAGTAGAACTTGCATCTCTTCTCAAAGGTTTATTTTCTTTAGGAATATACCTGAGGAGTTGCTTAACTTTAGAAGTATGCAAATTTTAGTTTGCATTGTTTTGGTTTTTTTGTGTATGAAACTCTAGTCCTTTTGTGGGCTCTTCAGGCTCTCAGTGAACTAACTTTCAGCCCAGGAGAGAGCCCTCTTTATCCTAGCACATTAAAGTAATTCTCCATTACCTCACAGGGGTGGGGAGGAAAGTTTGATTAGTTCACTGTGGTTACTTAATATCTTTTCCTTTAGCTAAGCTAAGTAAAATGTGAACATGATAAATATATTCAAATGTTACTTGGGACAGTATGAAATATATAGCATGAAGCCTCACAAAAGTGACTAATGTCTTGCCGCTGTTTTGACCGTAGAATTAACTCAGTTTTCTGTCTTAAAATCCTCTGTGTGTTGGAGAATTAATCTACTGGAATAAAAACAGAGCTTGTGTTGAATAGCCTGCTTACAGCAGTAGTTTTGAAATTCAGTATGATACTCAATTGTGCAAGATGAAATATTTTTTTAAAGATGTGCAATATTTACTGACTGCAGGCCCAAAGGCACGTAAGATCCACTGGTCTGTAGAGGGATGTAAGATGTATCTGGGAGCAAATACAGCCGCTTTCTAAGGGACCTCAATTTGTGAGGTGCACAGATATTAGCATAACCCTAGCTATCAGAGAGCTGAGACTTTGCAATTTCAGATTTAGATCATCAGGTTCACAGACCCATCAAGTACATCTCATTCCAAGTTTCTTTCAGGCTAGTTTTTTCTCCTTGCATGTTAATACATAGTGCATTAAGAAATAACTGTATGTAATATGAAGCAGCTACATATCTTTTGGACCAAGCGAATACAGATGAGAACCACCTCTTTTGCCAGAAAGCAATCCTGGGATTTCAGTATTCCTTGGCAAAAAATTTTTTTGGAAATCTGTAAGATTTAATAGTTGTGGCACTTCATTTGCCATTTGAAGTTTTCACTGACTGGGGAAGATATGAACTACAAATGAAAAATATTATATGGACCAGTGGACCTATTAATTGTCCTGCTGGTCTAGTTAATTTTTTTAACTTAATCTCCTACACATAGCTAATTTATATTTTTATAGCTTTTTTCATGTGCTCACTCGCTTGAATTCTGTCTTTTTTTCCTTGCTTCACAGCAAGCCAAGTGGTTTGAAAAATTAGATCTGTGCATTTGCAATTTCACAGTACTTCCTAAATGCTTTCACTCAAATGGGCTATCTTGCCAGTTCTTCATGCACAATAAGTTTAGCATTAGTAAAAATTGTTGTGTTGCCCCATTTTTTTAGGTGTTAGATGTTTTTGAGTAGTTGTGAGTCAGATTCTGAACAAACCTGTGGGAATGCTTAGGGATAGACCATGGTCCTCAATTATGAATGGCATAGGGGCAAAGACTATTATAACCTGCAGTTAATTCCAGGAGGCATTAGACCCATGACACTGACATAATTTTGTCTGCTTTTTCTAAGTCAAGATAGTGCAGGACTTCACTGTCTAAGTGCAAGACAGTATGCTTAACTGCCTGGTGACAGCAGGTTAATTAAAACCCTGGCCCTGTTTGGGTATTTAAGGCGGTCTTTCTGGCTACACAGATTAAATTTTTTTCCTTCTGTCAGGTTCAAAAAAGATTTCTGCTTACCATGCTCTCAGAATACAGGTGCTGACTGGAGAGCCCCAAACTGGTCAGTTTTCCATTGTGGGAATTAGTGGTTACAGTACTGCACTGGGACCTGGTTGTGGGACTTCCCTTCAATGCTGAACTCTTTTTGTGGGGCTGGGGTAAAAATTGGTTTATGCTCAGCTGTGGAAGAGCAAATAACTTCTGATGTTGAAATGGAGCAGCTTAAAACTCCTGATTACGAAGTATTATATAGTCATTGTTTGCTTGTATCAAAAGCTGTGAAAGTTTGGGGCTTCTAAAGAATTGATAAGGGTGTGTCTCCATATTTATCTTCTCTCTTCTGGTTGCTTATTTCCTGAAAGTTTACTGAAACGTTTAGGAGGTAGCTGTTAAGTTTCTTTTTGACTACAGCAGTAACCTCTGTTGTCTTCGTACCTAAGATTTCAGCAATATTGCACCATAAACTGAATCCTATTTCTAAAGCTTTTCATAAGAAGTTCTTTGATCTGTCAGTTCTTAAGATACCTGTCATCTCATGTAAAGTCATACTCAGCAGATTACATTGAGTTGCTCTTCATTGGGCTTATCTTTGTTCTTGGCACAAACATCCTACTCTTTGATTGGAATTTGTTCTAGCTGTAAGAGGCCTCTACTGACTATTCAGTACCTTGATGACTAATAGGAGACTGTTTGCATCAAAGGATACATCTGACTCTTGAATGTTTAAAACAACTTGCAAAAAGCCCACTTGCATTCTGGTAGAAAGAAGTATGCCTTAGAGACCTGGTATTCTAGCTTAAGCACCAGCGACACTCATTTCTCTCTTGTAGAAACAATTGTGTCTCTTCCTTCTGAGTGTGGAACTTGTCCTGTTAAGCAGTCAGGTGCACTGGACCCATTCTCAACAAACCCAAACCTATGGTACGAGCACACATACATAGTTATTGATATTTCTAAAAATGCTGTATTTGTGTATTAGGGTGGACCTAATGTGCATGTCCCACTTAATTTTGTTTTGCAAACTGGATCAAAATTCATTTTTTTTTTTTACTCTAAACAAGGTGGAAGATTTCTCTTGTTCAGCTTGGCTGAATAAAGACAGATTTGAGCACACATTTTTGCCAGAAGCTTCTTTTTCCCATTCCTGTGCCTTACTGGTGTTCTCGTGGCTGCATAGATCTGGTCCTTGATAGTGTTAAAAAAATATACATTCCTAATATATTAAAAACAGTTCCTCAAGTAACTGCACTGATAATTGTACCAGCCCAACAGAGACTGGGCAAGGTCTCCTTCTGATCTTGATTATTTGCTTTTTGGATGGTTAGCGGGTGCCTAACTAAAAAGAACAAATCTGGTTTTCATCCTTTTTCTTTGAAAAGGATGTGTAAATTAAAACAATACCATACTCAAAATCTCTTGTCTGGATGTGTTCCTTGTCTTAGTTTTTATTTTGTACACCCTGTTTTCTCCTGTTTCAGCTGCTTTTTCTCACTTTCCTTAAGCTCAACAAACTGCCTTGTTGCAAATACTCAAAACTCTTGAACTCATCCCATGGGCTGGTGTTCCTTTTTTCAGACCTGAGCTCCCAAGTTTGTCACGTTTTACTTTAACCATGCCACCTTAACTTAACATCCTATGAATAGCCATTAATTCTTCTATGCTACATAATGATGGGATAGTATTTTGCAACACACTGGTAAGAAGCAACTGAAATGATCTTAAAAATGGAGAAAAAAAATTAAGTGTATACAGAGGGGGCAGCTGGAGCTCTTATTGTACAGTTTAATTGGCAAAAAAAGTTCTATATTTAACTGTGGTGACCTAACATTCATGAGTTTTTTTCCAACAGTCAAGGATCTTTATTCGACCTGGGGGGGGAGACACCCCCAAACCTCTGCTACTGGCATTCAGTGATTTCCTCCCCCTGCTTAGCTCACAATAAAAGGTCAGCCATCTAGTGTAAAGGTGATTTTAGTGTATGTGCTAATATATATATTCTTTTCCCCCTCTCTGGATGCATTGTTCAAAGGAACTGTACTGCAGCAGTTTGAGTCGAATATGGCCCTTACTTAAAGAAAGGGCAAGAACTACCCTGATGATGCATGACAAAGCAGGAACAGCATGACAATATTTAATGGGCTGCAACTCCCAGGACTGGGCTGAGATTTAACCAATTATCTTTTAGTCTGCAGAATTTGTATTTTGCTAGCTCTTTCTCATTAGTAACACAGAAGAGCTTCGGGTTGGTAATATTGTAAAATTAGCAATTGTAAAATACCATCCCAGAGTCTTCTGTGTGGGATTTTTGTGGATTGTTGTTTTCCCAAGAGACTATGTTAGTGAGCAGTGCTCAGTCAGGAGCATAGAAGGGTGATAAGGTCAGATGCATCTTTCGGCTTTGCACTGCCTAAAGCCCCCCAGTTAAGTAAGAGTGAAGACTTAATGATTTGAGCTTCTCTCTGGGCTGGATTGGGTTATGGCCTTATGTGGAATTCCCTATAAAGCTTCCTAGATTCCTACTCTGCACAGGAACATGTGGCTAACTAAGAGACAGCGCTTCCAAGATGCAGTGGTTTTTTGACCTCTTTAAATGTTTCATTGTTTGATGACAAAGCTTGCTGGATTTCAGATACTGAGTCAGGGCTTTGTTCTCGGTTACAAGCTTCCCCTTCATAACAAGCTCTTATTATGCCTTTTGAGAGCCAGAGCTACATGAGGTGGGGAGAAGAGGATCAGCTGGAATAGCCATTATTCTTGCAAAGGGCAAAGCAAGCAGAATATTTCCCAAGAGTGCTGGCAGAAGATCGTGTTTGTTAACGCCAATTATACCTGTTCTGCAGTTTCAAGCTTTCCTCCACTCACTACCATCCTGCAGCTGCAAAGTTGTGTGAAGAAGAGATACAATCCATGGTTGTGCTTGATGTTTTGTTTATAGAAAATCGTATCCATCTGACTAATGTTAAAAGAATGGGGGAGGAAAGGGTTCTTGAAGTGTATCTAATAACTATGAGGTGCCACATAGGATGAATAGTGTTCAACAAAATTGGCAAACCAACTAAAATTTGCATGAATTGGCTGTAATGTGTTCTGTGGAACAGTGCACTGAGGGGAAAATGAGATGCATACTCAAATTTTGGAAGTGCGAGGGAGTCACAGTTCCCAAGTAGGAAGCAGATAGCTTTTCCCATATCAGCATAAACACATCAAGCTCCAACGTTTAACACAGTATGTAGAATCTTCTGACGTGTTTTTTATGGGAAATGGGAAGCCGAAAATACATTTCTTGGTTATATGACTGCAATGAAAGATTAAAGCTGAAATTTCTGGGTCTTGTGAATGATATCAAAGTGCATCTTGAAAGAGTTTAACAGGGACTGTGGTTTATTTAACTGAACATACTGCTCTGAACATCCCTTACTCCTTAGCTGAATGCCGCAGCTTGTAATTCAGTATCCATCTGTCTTGGATGCAGTTCTTACTTGAAGCTTAGTGTTTTTTAGCTGAAATTACATATTAATAAGAAAGTGGGAGGGAAAGCTACCCAGCTAATATGCCCAGTTAGTTAAAAATCAAGTCACATTTTATTTACTTAAACCCATCTGTGCTTGTTTTGCCAGTAATATATTTGGTCTGCGGCCTGTGGACTATGCAGAAAGTGAAAAGATAAAGTGTGTGCTAATGTTACCAGTGACAAATGAATCATTCTCACTTAACCAACCCTCTGAGGTAAGTGTGTGTGGGTTTTTTGTTTTGTTTTGCTTTTTAAGAAAACATGCGTTCATCCTGTTAAGTATTGAAGGCTTGGGCCTAAGTACAGTACATCACCTGCCTTTACAGGGAGATTTAAAATAGGTTGGGAAACTAACTTGGACAATATTTCTAGAATGTATGTGGAACACTTACAAGCTATGATATTCTGTGTTATAGCTTTATCTGGGAAAACAAAGGATATTTCTTTATTGTAGGAGAATGAATGCTGTGTTGTTCTTGAAGTATTGTTGATTGAACTTAGCTATTGTTGTTGTTTTTCTGCATATTTAATTTGTTCTACTTGCCAATCTGGATGAAAGCAGCAACAGTCTTTGCTCCAGGTGCTTTTCGTGTGCCTTTAAAAGGCTGTTCCAGTATCGTCCTTTGTCCAACAGTAAAAGTATCAGCTCAGCAGTTGAAAACAGTTTTTGGAAGATTGTTTTGGGGTTTTTGTTTTTTGTTTTCCCCCCCTTTTTGCCAAAGACTTCTCAGGGCTTGTGACCAAAATCAGGTTATTCAGACTTAAGTTACTGTATTATGAAATACTTTGCGCTTCCTAATGAATGATGATTAAACTGACCTGGCTGATATAAGCAGTCCTGGTCTACTCCAGGGTATACAGCCTGTTATGATCCCCTCTCACTGAGGTAGTAAGATACCCATTGGCTAAAAGTAAACTGTTGCAGCTAAATGAGCAAGGGTATGACTGTTCCTCTCGTGTAGCAAATGTAAGATGCGGCTCTTCTGTTGTAAACAAAACACTCAGTATTTGCATTTGCTTTGGGATGAGTGTGTGCCAGTGGATGGTTACCAGCTCATATGGATGACTTGATCCAAAGCCTAAGGCTTTAGGGTAACTGGGTCTCAAAGGTATCTGTACTATGGAATCTGGGAGTACTTAGGAAGACCCCGAGCTGAAATATTGCATCCTTGTCAGCATAAAACTTGAGCAAGCAGCTCCTCTGACTTTGCATTAGTAGTATCTGCATTAAAAAAATGTAGGCATTCATTAATTACAGGGCAAAGTATTAGGGACTTTTTGGTAAAAGGAAATGCAGGTTCCTTTTACCAGGTTAATTATATAGGTTACTCAGCATATTGGTGGTGTATCTGTTGGTAATACTTCACTAAAAGTAGGAGGCTTTACTACTTTATCGGGAATTTTTTTCTCCTTCAACATTGCAGTCAGCAAGGCTATTTACACAGTGTTCAACCAGCTATATGTGTGCACACCAGTGTCTTTAAAAAAAAAAAGCAAGGAAGAAAAAATGATGCACAAGCTGTTTTGATACCCTGCATAAGCTAAATGAAGTACCTCTAATGCCAAGTTTTCTTCCTCTAAAGCTGGTTTGTTATACAGAGCTTTATTTATGAACCCTGTCTACTAAGGGTGCCATGAATTGTTTTTCAAAATGCTTATTCTTATTAAATAAAGCTGTCAAACAAGTTAGTTGCTTTCTTTATGTTCCCAAACATTCAGCTTATTGTAGGATTTTCTGTTCATGCAGGCACTGAGCCCCAGCCAGCCAAGAGATGGACCTCTTGGTATATTGGGGAGCAGTCTTAGTTCAGAGCAACAGAAATTGCTGAACAAACTAGCAACAGTTCTGAAGGCTCGAAGGTGTACTGAATTTAACAGCAGAGGTATGTAGTCTTATTGAAATGTCTCTGTCCAAATATAAGTAACTACAGTTCTGCACTATATCCTTTAAGATACTAGCTGCAACAGGTTTTTTTATTGTTCCTAATAAGTGCAGTTTCTGAAATCCCTGAATTACAGCTGTAGTAGAATGATGGTGTGTTGTTGCATGTAAATGCATATAAAGCCTGGTTACTGAGGCAGGAGACTTCTAGGGGAGCCACAGTTTGACAGTATATTCTGTTACTTAAAATCCCGAAGTCCTCCTCAAAGACCTCTTCTATTTACACTTCTTTTACCAAGTTTAAGGTCTCTGCTCATATGAGACATCCTGTAAGGTTTTTATCTTCCAGAAGTGAGTCTTAAGCAGATGGGGCCTCTAGAAAGAGCATGTTATTGACTAAAAGTTGACAAATTTCTTCTCACATGCTACCTTTCTTCAAATTTTCTTCTTCATTAAGAAGATGGAGCCAAATTATGGGGCTTCGGGGTTTTTCTGTTCCCTAATCATAGAATGGTTTGGGTTGGAAGGGACCTTTAAAGATCAT